AGGAGGGTGGGAAATTGGAAAAAAAAAAAAAGTTTGGGAAATGCTTTACTAGCAGTTAAACAGGTTTCTTTACTGAGGGACTTCTCAGAGCCTTTAATATGCTCACAGGCCGGGTGAATCTTTACGAGGGAGAGACCCGGCGAGCAGTGCTGCCCACAGGTAATTGTCCACAGAGGTGTTTTTTTTTTCCCAGAGCCTCTCGAGTGGTCAGTGTTCCACATTCTACCCTTTGGAAAATGCCACCTGGAGCCGAGACACATGAGCTGCACCTTGAGGAGGGGGTACAAGGTGAGGACTACCTGGGTTTGGGGACAGGGGTCCTGGGGGTCGTTCGAAGGTCTCAGAGCCAGTGCTGGGGCCCCAGCCACGTGGCTCCTCTCCCAGCGCTTGCTCCCCAGCACCCGGGGCATCCGCAGCGCTGAGAAGTAACACAGGCTCCTGGGAGAGTGACTGCAGGAAGGACTGGGAAGGCAGCGCCACACTTATTATCGGAAAACAGTCAACCCATGGGACCGCCTCGACCACCTTCCCCAGGCCCCTGGGCCATAACATATGCTGTGGTTTAAATTTTTTTAATTGAGGAGTACTTAAGGGAAAAATGCTGGCAAGCTCTGAGGCACCTGTGAAATGGTCTGAGCTGACGGGGAGGCTGGGCCCCACCCCTCCAGGAGATAGAGGCAGCGCTGAGTAGGGGTAGGGAGGGGCCCCGACTGGGGTCCGTGAGAAGAGGCTTCTGGTCAAGGTCGGCCAGTGGCGGGGAGAGGGAAGTGGCCCCTGCAGCAGCCCTTGGATAGGCCAAGCGAGGCAGCAGGGCCAGGCAAAGGCACAACCTCATCCTCACCACGGATCCTGGCCAGGCCAGCAGATGCGCGGGGGCCGGCGGGCGACACAGTACAGCACAGCGGCAAAGCCAGAGGCTCTGGGATCACCGCGGCCTGGGCTCAACTCCTCGCTGTCGCCTGGGACAGTGACAGCGCCTCCTGAGCCTCCCTGTCCGCGCAAGACAGAGCCAATAGAATCACATCACACGGTGACAGAAAGACTAGGTGAGACTCTGCGCCTGCACACGCTGGGTCCTCAGCATATGTTAGCTGCCACTGTTTGAGGTGGGCAGCCCGAAAGCGGGGCGCAGATGGAGAGCCGGATGGACAAAGCTGAGCCACTGTGGAAACCACCTTGGCCGAGGGCAGCAAGAGTCTATCAGCTGCGCAGCCGTAGCAGGTCACTCCCTGCTCTGGGCCCCGGCAGCCGCCTGTAAACAGGGCTGTCTATCCACCTCTCATCTCATGAAGGCCGGAACCGTCACAGATAGTGTCTAGCTGGTGTCTGGCTTGCTTTAGGTGCTCAGCACTGAGCTGTTCTCTTCCCCCGGGGGTGTTTACGCCCCTCAGGCCTGTTATGCCCGGAGTGGACTCCCTTGTGTCAAGTGGTGGCCAGGAGACCGAAAACATCCACCTGCAGCCTCTCAACAGGTCAGCGGCTGCGACTGCAGGCAAAGGGGGACCCTCTGCGCAGACACGTCTCCTCCTTGACCATTTTCAACCTGAAGACCTTCAGGCCTGTACCTGGAACAAAGCGAGGCCACGCAGCCTGGTGGCCCTGCACATGGAGAGGGCAGCCAGGCGTGCCCAGGGCCACGCCCTGTGCAGAGCGAGCCAGCCCTGTCCAGTGTCTGGAGGCGTTTATGAACATGAACCCACTCGCTTCTGAGAAGTGCCAAGGCCCTGGGGTTGCCTGCCATTCCATTAAGAGGTGTGTATGATTACAACGGCAGCAGAAGCAGAAAAGGGAAGCAACTGGGGGCGGTGTCTCAGCAGGAGCAGGGGAAAGGGACAAGGAGACGCCTGTGGGGTGAGGCTGGGCTGGCCGCCGGCAGGCGCTGGAGGCGAGCACACCTGCTCCGGAGCAAGGCTCAGTGTGGCATGGGCGGTCCTCGTCACGCACTCAGGCCCCTGGGACCTCCCTAACATCCCAGGGCGGTAGCGAGGGTGTGAGGTGGGCGCAGAGCTGCCAAGGACCTGTGACCCCTGCTGAGAACAAGGTGACTCAAGGGACTTCCGTGCCGTGTGAATAAAACATATAAGACTGTGCAGAGGGGCTTCCCTGGCGGCGCAGTGGTTGAGAATCCGCCTGCCGATGCAGGGGACACGGGTTCGAGCCCTGGTCCGGGAAGATCCCACATGCCGCGGAGCAACTACGCCCGTGAGCCACAATTACTGAGCCTGCGCGCCTGGAGCCCGTGCTCCGCAACAAGAGAGGCCGCGACAGTGAGAGGCCCGCGCACCGCGATGAAGAGTGGCCCCCGCTCGCCGCAACTAGAGAAAGCCCTCGCGTAGAAACGAAGACCCAACACAGCCAAAAATAAATAAATAAATAATTTTTAAAAATGAAGCTAATTAAAATGAAGCTTTAAAAAACAAAACAACAACAAAAAAACTGTGCAGAAACCATCCATATGTACAGGGAGAGGAGGAGGCCTGGCTGTAAACTCGGAAGGAGCTACTGCGGGTTTAATCCCCTCGTGTCACCCTGGATGCCTTCAGCAGCCCACCTGTTGCTGGAGGAGCTGGTGTGTGTGAGCTGGACTCCTTGTGTCCACAGTCCCGCCTCTGACTCCTGAGTGGAACTCAAGCTGAGTAGCTGCAGCATCCATGTTCAACTGCATCCAGCGCCCGTGCCACCATGAGTGCACACAGGCCACAGGGGTGACCCCAGCCCTGAGGCCCTCGAGCGTACTCCAGAACACTTCAGAATACGCCGCATTCTGCTGTGTGTTCGGCTGACTTTGCCTCTGCTGGCACAGCTTCAGCCAGCCCCTTTCCTTCCCATCAGCCCTGGCCCCTTCCCGTCACACTGACCTCTCAGAGCCACCCCTGCTGTGCCCTTTCTTCTGGGCACTCTGATCCCTGCCTCAGCCGAGCCTCTACCTGTCCTGCCACAAACGCCTGGGTGTGAACAGTGGGAAGTATGAGGGCCCCTGGAGGGGACTGGGCCCCCAAGAAGCAGGCCTCCCCACCCCAGGCCTGGTGTGGCCTGGACCACTGCCTTGGCCTGGACCACTGCCTTGGCCTGGCCAGGCTTGGGTGCCTCTGGAGGAGGAGGAGGATTCTGGATCTGGAGACCAATGGCACCACCGGCTGGGCACTCCTCACATGGCCTGGCACAGACCTGGGGGCCCATATTCCTCCTGCTTTGGGGTTTGGGCGGCCTCTTACCTTTGGGGTGAGGTACTTGGTCATAATTTCCTTCCCTTTTTCTCCCAGTTTTTCATCTGGAGTAACTTCATATTCTGCCTAAAACAGAAGGAAAAGAACAATAATAGATTTGTTCACGACCTTCTCATAGTTGTAGAACCTTAGAGGCCCCTGGAGAAGACACCCTGGAGGTCACGTGATCAACCCCCTCCTTCTACAGGGCAGGGAGTGAGGCCCAGAGAGGGGAGGAGCCCTGACGTCCAGTCCAGCCTACCCTGCTCCACCGTGGACACATGCTCAGAACTGGGGCGGCACATAAGAATCACGGGGGAGCCAACGATGGTGCTCGGGCCCCGCCCCATGCCCGCGGAGTCAGACCCTCTGGCGATGGAGGCCGGGCACCCAGGCAGCTGGGGTTGAGAACCACCGGCTTAGGAAAATCAAAGGAAGCCGCTGGAAAATAACTGGAGCCACCAACCTGGAAGATCCTCGAGAGAGGCTGCCTGAGGTCACACACCTTACAAGCCGTGTGACCTTGGACAGTTTCCTCAACCTCTATAAAGTGCAGATGGAAAAAGCACCTACGTGTAGGGTGATTGTGCAGAGAGAACGTGACAAAGACGGGCACATAATAAATACTCATTGTAATTACTACACCTTGCAAGAGAAGACAATAATATGCATTCTGTACCTTTCACAGCTTTTCAGTTTACAAAGGGAACATACAGAGATATTTCCGATGCTCTTATATGAACCTAAAAAGAGCCCAGGTAGTGACGCAGGATGGCAGGGGCTGCTGTCATACCCCTTCATCTGCAAACAAAGAGCAGAAGGTTCAGCA